AAGCAAACAACAATATCTGAGGCACTTTGTCGAAATTTAAAAGACAAGCAAATTATTGCTAGTGTATTAACTGATAAAATGTCTGAGGAAGATGTCAATATAAAAGGGTATCACTATATATTTGACCCACAATGTTTTAAGAATGCTCTTGGAGAAACAATAGTGAATTTATACACTTTTCAGAGTTCCAGGGTCACCAAAAGTGCAAATATAGCAGTAGAACAATACTATGTTCACATGCTTGATAATTCGTCTTACCAGTCCAAAGAATTTTCGAAAAAATTAGTTGAGCATTTTGGTGCTTTTACTGGCAATAACAATGAACCTTATACAACATCAAATACTGCCTCATCTCACAACCAGAGTTATTTAAAATGTGTTCAAGGATTAATACAAGGCCTTCAACTATTATCTAATGCTGTTAATGGTTATATTAAAGAAACATATCCGGCCTTGTATACAAAAATAAGAAAACTTGATCTTGGACTAAACGTTCCTAAATCATTTGGAGGCTTTCCTACTATAGCAATTAATTTCAATACTATTTGCTAGTTCCATCAGGATCTAAAAGACCACCACAATTCGCTCTGTGTTGTGTGCCTACTTGGAACATTTGAAGGTAAACAATTAGTATTTCCTGAGTTAAAACTAATAATACATACAAAACAGGGGCAAGCTATTGCTTTTAGATCGAATATTTTAGTTCACGGGAATCTTCCAGTTCTTGCAGGCATATATCATAATGTTATATTTTTTATACATGGCACTATGATTAAACAAAATAGAAAATTTGGCTCCCTATTTTGCGATTTAGATTCAAATAACAAAATAGATATAAATATAAATAGTGATAAAAAGAAGGTAAGGTTACTGCAAAAAAATAGATATTCTTCCAAGTCTGGTTCTAAATCCCTACCAAAATTAGAAGATTTATTTGTGAGAATTTCTACCCCATTTTACAATTCAAGCAATTAATCAACCAAAGATACAAGATAATAATTTATATAATGTGATTTAACTTTCTTGAGACCTAGTAACAATGCTAGAATAATTATGTTTTGAGGCTTAAATCTGAGTTCATAGGACAAATTGCAGATAACTGCATATATTGTACTAGTAAAATATACAGAATTTTTAAAAGGACTAAACTAGTCCAGATTAATCATAAGACCAAGATATGGGGTGAAGTCAATAGAAATGGGACAAATTTATCTAATAAATTTGTTCCATTTCTATTGACTCCACCTCATATGTATTGGCATGTTCTGACGTGAAGAAATCTTCATCTTAATTTTTAAAATTCTTCCATATATTACCATTATAAATATTGGCAAGATAATTATCTTTTATATTTCTATTAACCCATTTTCTATATAATTCTTCAAATTCATTTTGACTATATAATAACCTGAGCTGATCTTTAATATTTATTGTTAGATAAATAAGCAAAGAATGAAACACTATTTCATCTTTTGTAGATATCTCCTTTGCCAATTGTTGATTACAAAGTTGTCTTATTTTAGACATTATGTGATTAAAAAATTCTATAAAAGTACAATATAAACATATCAGGATTTGTTTAGGTTTTTTTGTTGTTACCTTGCTAGGTTCATACAACCTATTACATGCTAGACAAGTTGTATAATTATTTATGTATAGACCTAAACCCATTAACTTTTTGGCCAAATAGAGTGACTTAGAAAAGTTTTTAAACTAATTCTGATCAAGATATGTCAATAGATAATAAATAAATTTAACTAATATTTCTGTTGCAATATCAGATAACCGATATCTTTGTTGATATCTTAGAATTCAGATTAATATCTGATCAAAGCTATTGTCAAGATTATCAATATGTTCAAATTCTTCTTTATCTTCATTTTCAATATTAGGAGCAGAATAGTCCATTATGGTTTTCTCATTATCACTATCGGGCTCTATTTCTGCAACTTCTTCTTCATTATTAGAGATATTTAAAGTCTTAAGAACTATATCAATATCAGGTTGTTCTCTAATTATAGCTTTTGCTTTTTTTCTTTTGTTTTTAGTTACAAGAAATGATTTTTGAAATTCAGGATCAAGTAAAGTAGATAAAGAGATATTAATTGAAGATATACTGCTAGGTCCTATTTGAGAATCAGTTGGAGAAGAAATATTAGGATAAGGTTCATAAGTACTTAATAATTCCTTACAAACTCTATATTTTGCAATATAAGCATCTTTTGTTTGGGGATTACAGGGTTCTTTTTCACTTTTGCATATGTTACATGGGCAAATAACCTTTTTTTGAGTTTTTGTTACAGGTAATTTAATAAATATTTGATGACTCATTTTCAAAGTATTTTAAGAGTTATAATATTAGATATCAGAAGGCAAGACAGACAAGAAGTCTTTAAATACAAAATTTTATAATATATTTTATTATTTGCTATATTACTATAATTTTTTACAGTGATTAAGAATGGATACAAAAGATATCTTATTGAAAAATTAATAAATTCCCTTTTATGTCATATTTTTAACTACAGGT